GCTGGGTCTAAAATCTGTTCTCCTAACCACATACGTCATGCACAATGAACAGCTTGCTTCAGTTTACAAAGCATTCTTTTGAAATGTGAGATGATGTGTCTTTAATGTGTATGGAAACTGGAAGCAGTTCAATCAAAACCCAGAAAGCCCTCATTAGCCGATGCCTGTGATAGATTATGCATTCCCATAATCCTGTGCCAGTCTATCACAGCAAATGCAATTGGTGGTTCTATAAAACGTAATGGAAATACAGTAGAGTTCCAATCCCCTTGACATTCATTTATTCAATTTATTCTTTCTGTTCACTGCATATTTGTTGGCTATAGAATAGATGTAAATGGATCATACTGGTGTAATGAAACTGCTTTACCTGATCATGTGTGTCTGCATCCCTAGAACTCTGGAAAGCCATATTATTTTCAAGTTTTCCTCCCCTTATAATAATGTTACTCATTCTTGCACTTGACCACTAAAACCAAAGTACAAAATTCCATGTGTCCGAATTGGATAAAATATAAAGAATTAAAGTACTATTATTATAGGCCACTGAAGTAACTTACTCGTGCTTGGAAACCACGATGAAAAGAACACAGCTTCTCAGCATTAGTCACAATTAATAACAGTTCGCCGAAAGTTCTGTCAGTAAACAAACTAATAAAAATGTGCCGCGCTAAGTAAACTCAATTAGTTTAAAGAAATGCTATTTTTGCGAAACAGCATTTCTTCTCGAAAGTTCCAAACACAAGTAAGCAAGCGAACTCCCTCAGGAATGCACCTTGTGGGCGAAGGTACATTTTTGAGTGGCGCGAAAAATCGCGAATCGTTAACAGTTAAAATGTGAATTAATGACGAGAAGAAGCTAGCCTAATTTGTTTTATTATTATATTTCATTATATCAGTAGATTTTTTATGTATCAAGATAAGATTCATATTCAACACATGAGACAGTATTCCCTGCACCATTCACTTCAAGTGCACTTCGGGCACAGTGGTGTTCACTTAAAACAGAATTAGCCCAGAGAGAGTCAGAACTCTTAACTTTTGAACACACCTGTGATCTATTATTCAATCTACAACACTGGATGTATGTATGGCTCTGTACAGGGGGGG